GAAATGAAAGAGGGTACCCTACTGAGTAACGGCAGAATAGTGGTTCAGCCCATCGAAGCGTTATTTGGGACTTATGACAAAAAATGTCCTAAAAAGTACCCCCAGTAGACATAACCCTTATAAAATTTTGCTAACGACCTGTAAATTAGAAACTACCCCTAAGTTAAAGTCTAACACTCCTACTACTGTTACATCCAAGAACTGTCCAAATCGGACCACTACAGGATTAGTTATCGACTTTTGGAAATTGAATTTTAAATTTCGACCAATTTTTGGCCCAAAATTGAGTATATCTTCCGCCGGAATCAACCATTTCAGTCTAAATGTGGTTTTTCTGAATCTAGAGTGACGCTAGCTTCTTCCCAGAATGTTTCCAGAAAAAACCTACAGGGCACGTTTCTGTAAAAAGCGAAAAGGTTGAAAGCGTAAAGATTTCACCGTATAAAATGTCGCCGCAAGCCGAGAAGGGTCGGGCGCAGTTCGAAAGGCGAAAATAATATATGTTTTTTGAAATACTATTTTAGTGTGAAACTAAAGCAAAATCCAATGAAATTGCCTGAAAACGCATTAAAAATATTAAAATGACATTGAGTTTTATGTTTGCGTGCTCTGTCTGTCTGTATTTCATCTGAATTCAGCTTGTCGACACTAAAATAATATTTTTCGAAGAAAAAATATTATTTTCGCCTTTCGAGCTGCGCCCGACCCTTCTCGGCTGGCGGCGACATTTTATACGGTGAAACCTTTACGTTTTCAACTTTTTCGCTTTTTACAGAAACGTGCTCTATAGGTTTTTTCTGGAAACATTCTAGGAAGAAGCCAGCGTCAATGTAGATTCAGAAAAACCACACTTGGACTGAAATGGTTGATTCCGGCGGAAGATATACTCAATTTTGGGCCAAAAATTGGTCGAAATTTAAAATTCAATTTCCAAAAGTCGATAACTAATCCTGTAGTGGTCCGATTTGGACAGTTCTTGGATGTAACAGTAGTAGGAGTGTTAGACTTTAACTTAGGGGTAGTTTCTAATTTACAGGTCGTTAGCAAAATTTTATAAGGGTTATGTCTACTGGGGGTACTTTTTAGGACATTTTTTGTCATAAGTCCCAAATAACGCTTCGATGGGCTGAACCACTATTATGCCGTTACTCAGTAGGGTACCCTCTTTCATTTCTGCATGGAGGTGCCGACTCGTCCGGAAAGGGTTAAATGCACTTTGTGAAAAAATTGAATTTTGATTTTTTGCACAGTGCAGCCAAATTTTTTTGACGATTGCACAGTGCAGAAAAAAATTTTTTTTGCTTTTTTTGCACAGTGCAAAAAAAATTTTTTTGTTTTTTTGCACAGTGCGGTCAAATTTTTTTGACGTTTTCACAGTGCAAAAAAAATTTTTTTTTTGTTTTTTGCACAGTGCAGAAAAAAATATTTTTGTTTGTCGCACATGCAGTTCATTTGCTAAAAAAACTTTGCACAGTGCGGCCCAAAACAGTTTTTTTTTATTCTTTCTGCACTGTGCAAAGGAAGAAAAATGTTTTTTAAAGTTTTTGTCGGATAAAAAAGAAGCAGCGATGGAAGGACGATCATTTCCATATGGCCCGATTTTTTCGGCCTATGACGTCACTCATTCACTCCTTTTTTATCGCAGTGTCCTGAAAGATCCCTCCAGTTCACCCATTTTTCTCCCGTCCCTCCGTAGCGGGGGGACTAATGCGCTGTCTTCGCAGCCTTTAAAACACATCAGTTCGAGTCTACACTCACCCGAGGAGGCCTAACTCTCCAGCTCTCTCTCTGACCCACCAAGCGGTCCCCAACCACAATGAGAACCGTTCATTTCTCTGTTCCGGACTTCAACACAGTCCCCAAACCTCGACCTCCACACGGTCAAAAGGACGTCCAAAAACCTTTCCGGGTTCTACTCACTCACTCAGTCAGTAGTTTTGCAGATTTTTTTTTAACTGTAGAAAAATGAAAAAATTTTTAACTTCTTTTTTTTCATTGGAAAATTAGAAAAAGGCATTGTGCGAAAAAGTTTGTGCTTGCACGGTGCGGATGGATTACTTGTTTTGTCGCAAATTTATTGCACAGTGCAGTAAATGAAGAGTGACAGCTCCTCGCACTGTGCGAAAGATCGAAACAAATCGCTGCACCGTGCAGCCACTCACGAAGTGAATTGCACTGTGCGAAAAAGGCGTTATTTTTTGCACAGTGCAAAATAAATAAAACGGTTTTGCACTGTGCGTTTTTTCTCTTAACTGTGCAGTGGATTTTCTTCGCACAGTGCAATGAATCGAGTGAATTGCACAGTGCAAAAAATCGTTATTTTTGCACAGTGCAGTCCATGAAAGAAACGTCTTGCACCGTGCAGCCACTCACCAAGTGAATTGCATTGTGCAAAAAAAAGTCGTTATTTTTTGCACAGTGCAATAAATGAAACGATTTTGCACTGTGCGGATGGATTACTTGTTTTGTCGCAAATTCATTGCACAGTGCAGTAAATGAAGAGTGACAGCTCCTCGCACTGTGCGAAAGATCGAAAGAATCGCTGCACCGTGCAACCGCTTTGCAAGTGAATTGCACTGCGCAAAAAAGGCGTTATTTTTTGCACAGTGCAAAAAATCGTTATTTTTGCACAGTGCAAAATAAATAAGACGGTTTTGCACCGTGCAGCCACTCAGCAAGTGAATTGCACTGTGCAAAAAAGGCCGTTATTTTTTGCACAGTGCAAAATAAATAAAATGGTTTTGCACTGTGCGTTTTTTCTCTGCACTGTGCAGTCGATTTTCTCAATTTTTGCACGGTGCAATAAGTCGAAAAAAATTTTGCGCACTGTGCGAAATTTCTATTTTGGAAAAATCAACTTGAAACAATAAAAAAATCAAAAAATCGCAACAATTTTTTACAGCAAAAACCTACAAATCCCCGAGAGAAAAGCGAAGAAACAAAGACTATTTTTGTCGCAGTAATCTCCAGCAAAAACTTTTGTTTTTTTACACACAACCGCCGCTTTTCGGCGCCTCTGGCTGCTAATTTCATCGATGAAATTGGTGGATGATACGTTGCTAATTTCAGAAATTAAACATTTTCGGAACACCCAAAAGAGGGACGATAAATATGGAAACAGCAATTGTGAAAGTGTAAATAGGCGCTGGAGCATGTGATTTGTCCGGAAAACATTGTGATTTAGGGACGTTTAGGTTGAAGAAGCGTATTTTAAAAAACTTTTTTTTTAAGTGTTCTTTTGTTAAGTCTGAAATGATAAATTTTCTCAATCGTTTTAAAAAAATTTAGCTCATTTCATCGAAAATTCGGCCAAATATAGCCCTTCAAACTTCAAAAAATCCCAAAATTTTTGCTCATTGATTTCGCCCAAATTTTGAACAAATAAAATACAGTACTTTCTAAAGCATTTCTAAAAATTTTAGGCTTCAATACGTAAAGTTCACCAAGAAATTCGACTTAAAATTTCAAAAAATCCCAAAATTTTTGTTCATTGATTTCGCTCAAATTTTGCCCCAATAAAATACAGTATTTTCTAAAGCATTTCTAAAAATTTTAGGCTTCAATACGTAAAGTTCACCAAGAAATTCGACTTAAAATTTCAAAAAATCCCAAAATTTTTGTTCATTGATTTCGCTCAAATTTTGCCCCAATAAAATACAGTATTTTCTAAAGCATTTCTAAAAATTTTAGGCTTCAATACGTAAAGTTCACCAAGAAATTCGACTTAAAATTTCAAAAAATCCCAAAATTTTTGTTCATTGATTTCGCTCAAATTTTGCCCCAATAAAATACAGTATTTTCTAAAGCATTTCTAAAATTTTCAAGCTTCAAGCTGTAAAATTGACCAAGAAATTCGACTTTAAATTTCAAAAAATCCCAAAATTTTTGTTCATTGATTTCGCTCAAATTTTGCCCCAATAAAATACAGTATTTTCTAAAGCATTTCTAAAATTTTCAAGCTTCAAGCTGTAAAATTGACCAAGAAATTCGACTTTAAATTTCAAAAAATCTCAATTTTAATTTTCAAAAATCATACAAAATTCAGCGAAAAAATTGCTAAAAAATCAAAAATCAAGTCCGAGTTTCCTTTCAAAATTCTTGCAGATTTAATATTTAACATAAATTAGCGTTACAACTCAACGAAGTGATATACGGTAATGGTATTATCGGATAATTACAATATGACTACAGCTGCGGTGGGGGAAATCACAAGGTACCCTGGGTTAAGTGAAATTTCAACCCTTTGGTGGGCATGGGTTGAGGCCTAAGTGTTCTCTATAAAATTCTGTTGAGCTTTTGGGATTACGGTAACTCAAGTCGAGGATTACGGGAATTTGGGGTGGATGGGGGAAGGAATGGGGCCAAGGGCAAACTTGGAGGCCTAGGAAATGACCTTTGAATACAATTTTTGTAAAAAACTTTGAATATTTTTCGCACTGTGCAGTGAGAATTTTTGTTGTTTTTTCGCACAGTGCAGCGAAATTTTTTCGCACTGTGCAGCCGTAAAATGAAGGTAAAACTATGTCAAAAAATTTTAAGGGCAAGAAAACCCCTTGAAATTTTTTACCGACCATAAAAATTCCCAATTTTCCGACTTTGCACAGTGTAGCGAAAAAAATTTGTTTTTCCGCACCGTGCACCCAAAAAAAATCAAAAATCGACTATACCACAAAATCTAGGCCAAATTTTTGAATCACAAAAGTTCTGAGAGTTAACTGGCATCACCCTGAAGACATTTCCATACTCTTTCAAACTTAATTCGACAAAAAAAATCGAAAATTTTCAAAAAAATCATTAAAATCCCTCTTTTTCCTCTAAATTCATTCCAAACTTTCATATCTCCCCCAGAATTCCCTCCAAATCGCCCATAACCCCAGTCCATCTCCAGAAATCAAAATCAGACAGGCAAAAGGTAAAAATATTGTAAATTTTTTGATAAAAATCTATAAAAAAACGTAGAATTATAGTTATTTCAACAAAATAGTTTAGACATGTGGGAATTAGTCGATAAATCGTATGACGACCCGTCGGAGAGCTTCTTTGACTATGGGTTGTTCGGGTGAGACGATCAGGTCCACCAGTTTTAGGCGATAATCGCGGCCCAGGAGGGCCAGTTTTGGCGAGTCCAGGGCGGCCGTTCGATTCAGCAGCATTTGGAGGACGGCCAGCCAGCTGGAGCGGTGGTGCTCCGAGTGCAGGTTGAGGTAGTAGTCGAGGGCGTAGATGGTGGTGCTAAAAGTTGACAGAATAAACTTGTTTTCGTTGAAGATTTGAGATGTAAATTTCGGATTTTTACAAGATTTTTTGGCAAAAATTAGAAGCTTATATTACTTTAGGTGAAAATTTTATGAAATAAAGAGAATTATGGATGAATAGGGGCGGGAAAAGGAAATTTATGAGGGAAAACGATTAGAACTATGATTTTCGGGGTGGATGTGGACTCTGTAGAGCAGATTGGGACTGAAAATGAAGATTTGGGATGTAAATTTTGGATTTTTTGAAGATGTTTTTGGCAAAAGGTTAGAAAATTATATTACTTTAGGTGAAAACTCGATGAAATAAAGGGAATTATGGATGAATAGGGGTGGGAAAGGGACACTTATGGGGAAAGAAATGATTAGAACAGTGATTTTAGGCCTTTTCAGGAGGTTTTGACCAAAAATTGGGGAAATTTATTGGACTGTCCAGAAAATTCGTTCGGGTTTTTTATTCTTTTGTTTTACAAGAATTTGTTTGTTGCTTGGCAAAGCGTAAATATTTATTTGATACAGTTTTTTTCTCCGCTACAAAACTGTGTTTTTAGTTTTCTTTGAAAATTTAATTTTTTTATTATTTTTCGAAAAGAAAATTTTTTGCCTCCTGGATTAACCATCCAGGATTTTTTTGAGCCCGAAAAATAATAAAAAATTAAATTTTCAAAAAAAAAACTAAAAACAGTTTTGTAGAGGAGAAAAAGCTGCATCAAACAAATATATACACTTTGCCAAACAACAAACAAATTCGTGTGAAAAAAAGAATAAAAAAAACGAACGAACTTTCTGGACAGTCCAATAAATTTCCCCAATTTTTCGTGAAAACCTCCTGAAAAGTCCTAAAATCACTGTTCTAATCGTTTCTTCCCCATAAATTTCCTTTTTACACCCCTATTCATCCATACTTCCCTTTATTTCATCAATTTTTCACCTAAAGTAATATAATTTTCTAATTTTTTGCCCAAAAATCTTCTAAAAATCCAAAAATCACATCTCAAATCTTCATTTCCAGTCCCAATCTGCTTCACAGAGTCCACATCCGACCCGAAAATCACAGTTCTAATCATTTCTTTCCCCATAAATTTCCTTTTTCCACCCCTATTTATCCATAATTCCCTTTATTTCATAAAATTTTCACCTAAAGTAATCTAATTTTCTAATTTTTTGCCCAAAAATCTTCTAAAAACCCAAAAATCACATCTCAAATCTTGATTTCCATTCCCAATCTGCTCTACAGAGTCCACATCCGACCTGGATTCCCCTCAATTTTCCGTACCTGACCAACTTTTCGCTCAATTTTTTGGTTTCCGCCTCATTTTCAGAGTCCGCATACAGTCGATGGAGCACATTCAGCGCGCAATGGATGGCGTGGGACTCCAGTTTGAGGACGTTGGGTTTGTTTTTGAGGTCTTTTATTTTCAGCGTGGCCTTGAAGAGGATGTTTCGGTACTTTTGGACCGTGTTAAACTGCCTGGCAATGTCGTGAGCCTGCAGCATTTCGTCCACAATTTTGAGCAGAACTGTTGGGGGACAACTCGAATAGCATCCCTGAAAAGAAGAAAGGCTTAAATAAACCCTAAAATTCCCAAAAAACCCAAAAATTCAAAATTCATACCTAAAAAAAATTTTTTTTAAAGTAACAAAAATCACCTAAAATAAGGTCGGAAGACGTCTGAAAACCTTCAAAATCCAATTCAAGATCATTATTAAGCTAAAATACGCCTTCAAATTTCCAAACACAACCAAAAAAGAAAACTTTTTATAAAAAATTTTCCAAAAACGCTCAAAAACTACCTAAAACAAGGTCATCAACTCCTCAAACCATGCCAAAAATACATTTCACCCCTCTCAAATACCATAAACACCAATTTCAACTCACTTTAAAGTCAGCCGATTCGTCAATAAATCCATTTGCGATTGATCCAGTTGGGGTTTGAGGCTCCGCTTTCTTGATCGGTCCCTCCACTTTGAACGCCGACGACCCGAATAGTGTGTTGCTGATCGAATTGACCAACTCCAGCTGTACATGGCACCGGATGAGAGAGGAATTTTGGATGGTGGCACTCTCCGTTACGATATCATACCCGTTTCTGCAAAAAAAAATGTTTTTTGAAATTTTGCAAACAAAAAGGGCAAGATTTCCTTTTTTTTATACTGTTGTTATGATATTGTCTAAAATATTGGCAAGTTTTGAGGACGTTAGGTTTCGGTAATGGATTTAGAACGATTTTTTTGGTCTCATGAACCAGTTTAGAACATTTTTGAAACTTTTTGAGTATTTTGGATAACTTTTTTAACTTAAAAAAATGTTTTGAGATTTTTTGGAAAAGATTAGGTAAAAGATAAAGAATTTGTGTGCTTTCAAAGCTCGACAGTGGCGGACCTGATCGAGTGACAAAAAAAGTTCCCTTTTGCATCCGAGAAGTACCAAAAATATAGCAAAATACCTCCCTCTCCAACTAAAAAACTCCATTTTGAAAGGCGTCTTCACAAAAAATAGCGGGCACGCTTTTGAAATCGGAATTTTTTAGTCGGAGAGGGAGGTATTTTGCTACATTTTTGATACTTTTCGGATGCAAAATGGTACGTTTTCTGCCACTGAATCAGATCCGCCACTGTAGAGCTTTGAAAACTCACAAATTCTTTATCTTTTGCCAAATTTTTTCCAAAAAATCTCAACACATTTTTCAGGTTAAAAAAGTTATCCAAAGTGATGAAAAGGCCTCAAAAATGTTTTAAAAAGGTTCATGAGACCAAAAAAATCTTTCTAAATCCATTACCAAAGCCAAACATCCACAAAACTTCCCAATATTTATGACATTGTCATAACAAAAATGTATAAAAAGCCTTTTTTGTTTGCAAAAATTCGAAAAAAAAATTAAGTTAAAAAGGTTATCCAAAGTGCTCAAAATCCCTCAAAAATGTTCTAAAATGGTTCGTGAGACCAAACAAAATCCTTCTAAATCGATTACCAAAGCCTAACATCCACAAAACTTCCCAATATTTATGACAATATCATAACAAAAATATATAAAAACCCCTCAAAAATGATCCAAAACTCCTAAAAAAATAGACAAATCTTATCCTAAGCTCCATAAAACTCGGCAATCACCTTTCTGAACCCTTACATATGTAGAGGTGGCAATCGGGCCGGGCCGATTTTTGCGGCCCGGCCCGCGGGCCGAAGTGACCAGGCTGGCCCAGGGCTTTTTCAAATTTGCTCAGGCCCGGCCCTGTTTGGCCCGCTAATATCAGTCTGTCGGGAAAATAACGGCGGATCGTCGCAGCAAAATGTCTCGCCTCGCCGCTATCGCGCATCAAATCCCAAGCCGCGGCTTGCAGTCGCAAAGCGATGACGGGCGATTCCGAGGCGCGACGATCCGCCGTTATTTTCTCGACAGACTGATACAAAAAGGTTGGATAAAAGTCTTTGCATTTTCTATTGGAAGTTTTTACGCTTTCCAGAGGGTTTATGCGCGTGTATAAGTGAAACTAAAACGTCTAGTCGGATGACTGGGACAGCCGAGCAGGTACCTAAAACCTAGCCAAAAAGTTGGATTGTGTCGATTTTTTTTATCCCATAGGAATTTAGCTATGTAAATATATGGGCGTTATAAGGCAACATGTTTAATCAAAAACTGCTTAAACACTTTCATTTACATCATGTCATCAAATTACAGTGAAATGTTTAAGTTTATCATCAAAAATTCGAAGAGATTTTAAGGAGTTTTAAAAGATAGTAAAACAGCATATGGGTCAAAAAGGCTTAATTTAATATCCATGCATCAATTCTGCAAAGCATTTTGTGCCTTATTTTGCTGGTTTAATATTAAAATTTTTTTATTTTTCCGCCTTCCGGGCCGGGCCGGGCCGAAAGTCGCGGCCCGGCCCGTGGGCCGAAGCGGTCAGGCCGGCCCAGGGCTTTTTCAAATCTGCTCAGGCCCGGCCCGGCCCGGCCCAATCACCGGGCCCGGCCGGGCCGGCCCAGCCCGATTGCCACCTCTATACATATCCTCTAAAACCTCCAAAAACCCCGAAAAACGCCAAAAAAATCCTCAAAAATCTCTCAAAATCTCCCAAAATCCTCCAAATCCCCTAAAATCAAAACCAAATCCAAATTCCTTACTGTATTGGTCCATCCTCATGAATTGGCGAATTCTTGGCCGGTTGGATTCCATTTGGTATTGTGCTGTCGGGGTTGGCATTACTTTGAATTTTGACCGCCTCCACCAGAGCCGGATCCGTTTTTTCAAAGTCCGGAATCGAGGAATTGAACACCTCAACAATAAAGTCCATGGTTTCCAGCCACATTTTCTCCGTGAATTTGTCGCCATTCTCCGACACCAGGGACGCGAAACATTGGACGGCGTTCGGTGCAAGGTTCCCACTTCCATTTTGGATGCAAATGAACAGTTGTTGGTAGTAAACCTTGAGCAAAGTTGGGGCCAGTTGGTCGAAATAACAGGTGAACACGTCATTTATTGAGTAGAGGGCGTGATGGCATGTGGTTTCCATCCAAATTGACTTCTGAAAAACGAAAAATTATATTACCCTTGATAAAAGTTATGTCGAAAAAGGTGGGATCTCAAACTTAAACACCAAAAAAACTATTAAATACCAGTTTACAAGACAAAAGAAGCTATAATTCACTCAAAATTCATCAAAAAATTAAAAAAAATTTTACGATTTATATTATCCATGGCAAAAATTTTATCAAAAAATGTGCGCAAAACCCAAGCAGTACTCTCTATCACGCTGAAAATTGCTGTACATATCAAAAATGTCATCTATACTCCAAATAAACCTCCAAAAACATCAAAAATAATATTATCCATGACAAAAAATACTCAAAAAGGTCTCAAAACATCCAATTTTTGATATTCAATCCATTCCAAACTACTCACAACTAACTTCTAACCCTCCCACACACCTTTTCAATTAATTTTTACCTCCCTCCAATCCCAAATCTTCCCCTTACCTCAGGTCCGAGCTGATTCAATTTATCAAAGTCAAAGATCCTAAACACAATGTGGAACAGGTCCGTCCACCAATCCAATCGAAAGTCTGCACCATAAGTCTTCACAATTTCGAACATTACGGTCAAACTTCGTGTTCGGACGTCCAATTTGCATCGATTTATGACTCTGGAGAGCTCAAAAATGATCGGGAGCCATCCCTTCATCCAGACTTTTTGCGTCGACTGCTCCAGGGCCAAGTCGTCGTCGCTGAGGTGTTCGTTGATGACGTCGGCGTTTTGTGAGACGAGCGTTGCGGCGCTTCGGATCAAAGCGATCGCTTCCATGGAGGTGTCCGTGAAGTCCGTGTTGCCGGCGAACTCGGACAGACACTTGATGGCTTCTTGGAATGAGTCGAGGAGCTCCACAAAGTGTTCGGGGAACACATTATCTGAAATAAATGGTCAAATTCGAACAAAAATTATATTGTACTAGACAAGCTGGTAAAATTTGGCAAAAACCTTCTAAAAAATTGTTATTTCAGAGTCACAAATCGTAAAAAACGACATTGTAAAAAAGGCTCAATCAAAATTTTCAAAAACCCCGTTCAAAACGACCACTTTTCAAAAATTCCAGAAAATCCGTCATCATGACATCTTTATTTTTGAATCTTTCGTCAATATTTTTTCAAATCCAACTTTCTGTAGCCAAATTCACTGTTCTCTCAAATTTTCATAGTAACGATGCTCAATCTGCACCATTTTTTTCCCTCACAATGACGGATTTTCTGGAAATTCGCGAAAACTTCCAAAAAAGCCCAAAATTCGCCGATTTCGACCGGAAAAAAACTAGCATAGAATCTTTAGCACCTCCTTGTTACTTACTAACAATATCCGAAGTGATTTTGAACGCGGACTCCACAATTTCGGCCCTTTGATCCAACGCGGCTATGGCACAGACCGAGAAAATATTCTTCCAGCCGGATCGTATTCTGTTCGCGTGGCTTTTGACCATGTTGCCGATACATTGGATGATCAGCTCTCTTCTCGACTGGCTCTGGCTTCGCTCCATGATCAGTTCGAACGGGCGGAGGAATTCTTTTTGGAAACTGAAATTGGGGAGTTCGCCCTTTTCCAGAAATTTCGATGACAATTGCTTCAGGGCATCGAGTGCAAAGTAGGAAATGGTCTCGTTGGAGCTGACACCGGCCTGAAAATTCAAAAATAAGCAAAAAAAATTGGAAAATCTCAAAAATTTTGGAAATTTCAAAAAATTCCAAAAACCCTGTCATTGCGATATAATCGTGCCAAGGGTCTAAGAACACTTTCAATCGTCTTTTCTACTCATTACGCACTTCCATTCACCTTATTTTACCCATTTTCCACAAAAAGAAATTTTCGAAAATCCATCGTATAAAATGTCACCCTACTCCAAAAAAATTCTAACCCCTCTAAGATGGCCTAAAAACTCCAATAGACCCTCTACTTTCCCCAAATTTTCCATATTTCCTCCATAAATCCCCTTTCAATTTCTACCGTAACCCACCGTATTAAACAATTCCCCAATCTTCTTCCAGATGAAGGACCACTCAATTCTGATCCTGTTCATATTGTAGAACGAGATTTCCACAATTTTCTGCAGCATGTACATTCGCGGCGCGCCTGGGATGGCCAGTTCATTTCTTGAAACAGTGCAGAGTGCGTCGACAAAGTGGACGATCGCCTCTCCCGTTAATCTACTGCTCTTTTGGAAGATTTTGTCCACCGCAACCACCACGCTTTGGCTTGAGGTTTCGTCGAGGCATTCCTGAAGGGTTCCCAGCGATTTGTCGGTGACATTTAGGGCTCTTCGGAGGTCTTCGGGGTTCTTTCCGCTTCCCAGTTGTTGAGCAATCTCCAGCTGGCTGATACAGTCGAGTACGTCCAACCAGCGCTCATCTAGGTAGTCTCCGTTCTCATCGCCGACCGTGATCAGCAATTTTATGGCCTCCACATTCTTCGCTTTCATGTCGCTCAAATTTTTGGTCGCCAGCTTGGTGAACTTCTTCAGGGCATCCACAAAAACGTTGCGTTCGTTCTTCATGCGGAACACACATGCCACTCTGATCGAATATCGAAAGCCATGAAGGCATTGGGACCATATGTCGTGATCGTCGCTGGACTGTAGACCAATCGAAAAGGCGGCGTACGAGGGCTGCCAGATCACCTCAAAGATGGGGCGGACGTGCTCCAGATGCGTGGCGCTTGTGTATTCGGTGCTGGCGGACGTGGCGGCTTCCATGAGGCTGTGCGCGTTGTGTGCGATCAGCTCGAACTCGCTTTTTTGGATCAGTTTGAGTTGGCGGTGGGTGGTGTTGGTGGTGTCCACGCGGCGCCACTTGTGTTTCTCGCCCTTCATCTTGATCTCGTTGGCCGCAATGTCGTCGTAGATGTCGTTGATGAAGGCGTCGGTCAGGTCGTTGGTGTAGTTCAGCGCTCGGATGTTCTTGATGTACTCCTCGCGCGACATTTTTTGTTTCACTTGCGCGCTGTGCAGGTCCGTCGTCAGCATCACAATCGAGTAGGCCAGCACGTAGATCGTGTCGGCGGAGGCGTAGGAGCGGGCGCTGCAATTTGAAGGTCAAATTTGCGGAAATAGTCAAAAAAATTTTAAAAAATCTATAATTTACACCTAAAATTGTCCAAAACAAAAAAATCAAACTTAGTAAAAGTTATCCAATCCGTAGTTTACCATAGCCACTCGAAAAATCCCAATTACCCCTTAAATTTATCAAAAATCAAAAATTTGTTACCTAAAATCTTTTAAAAATGGAAAATACGGTCTCAAACTCAGACAAAAACGTTCAAAAATCCTTCGACACTTTGAATATGTCATATTCTACATTACTAAATATAAATATTCAAAACAGTCCCTCAAATTTTCCAAGCTTTAAAAATTTTGTTACCTAAAAGCATCTAACACGATAAAAATCAATATCCAACTCTCGAAAAATCCCTAGAAGTTATAAAAACAGCATATTACACTACGTATTTTACCAAAAAATATCTAAAAATTCTCAAAAAAAAAAAAAAAAAAAAAAAAAAAAAATCAAAAATCCCAAATTTCCCAAAAAACCCCAAAAAAATTCAAATTCTCACTTCGGATTGCATTCGATGTATCGTGAGGCGAATTTTTCCATCAACCGATCCACCTTTTGTGCTTCGCCGGGGATTCTGAACTTCTCCAAAAACTTGCGCAGCGCTCCCACAACGGTCAAGTTGGAGAAATTGAACATATCCACATAACACATCATCACTTCCTTGTTGAATTGGTCCCTTTCGCCTAAATAGTCGCCAATTGTTTCTTTCGACAATCGTTCTTCGGTGAAAAAGAACTTGGCGATGGATTCCGGGGTGTTTTCGATGAATTTCTTCTCTTGGAAAAAGGCCAGGCCTTTCTTGGGCTTTGCGGCGAATCTGAAAACAATAATTATTATAAACATTACAAAAGCCCATGGTCACTAATAATGCTAAATTTCCCATCTTCAGTTAAAATTTTTTTATATTACAGTAGACAAAATTTGGGAAAAATGGGCAAAACTGTTGTACAAAATTGCAGCAACAGACCTCAAAACTCCTCTATTATCACCAAAAAGCCATCCTGCCACTTATGAGCTTCCAACTTTTCAATTATTATATTACACTAGGCAAAATTTTTTTTATTTTCTTCAACTTTACAGTCTAAAATGAGGCCAACTACCCTCAGAACTCCTCCAAAATAGACAAGAAGCCTCTCTCTCACCTCAAAGCCCTCCATACAAAAAATTTTTATATTACACTTGGTCAAAACTTCAAATTTCCTCAAAATTTCTGTCAAAATCCAGACCGACTACTCCCAAAACATCATAAAATACTCTCAGACCAATTCTCAATTACTCCAAAGCCAACTTACAAGTCCAACCCATGTTCCAAGATACTTTTCTGCTGCTTTCTTTGTTCAAACTGATGAAGCAAAGTGCTGGAGCTATTGTTGGCGGACATCGAATCGTCCGCATTTTCCGTGTCCAATCGGCTTTGAGAGTCCTCTTCCCGATACATATTCTCGTACCACTGCATCAGGCATTTCAGGATCTTCACCAAGCATATCAGACTCAGCTCCCGGATGTGTTTCTCCTTTTCCTTCGCGCCTTGGGCGGCGTGCGCCGGAATTACCGTGCTTTTCGTGAGTTTGGAGAGCTGCTCCACCAGTTGTTGGAACACATTGGCCGAGGAGAGGGCGCAGTCGTAGTTCACGTAGATATCCACCACGCTTTGGGGATCGTCGCAGATCTTGGAGACCGTGTTCAAGGAGATCCATTTGTGCTCAAAGTCGGAGGTGTTGGACTCGAGGAAGTGGAGGATCACGGTGTTGAAGAAGACCTACAAGCGAAATTGTTGTCAAATTTACTGAAAAAAATCGAAAAATTTTTTAGTCATCAAAAATAAAAATTTTCCAAATTTTACCACCAAAATTTAACAAAAAAATCCGTCATCCTGACACATTTAATTTAGACCCTTTCTAAAGCCTGGCTTCAAAAATTCACACCTCTAAAGGCGAGTTTTCAACCCGAAATCATCATTTTTATCTTCACCATGACATCTTATTGGAATGTTGCAAAAATCAAAAAACTTTTCTTACAAGGAAAGTACTTCAATGGGGCATGGAGTTACAGGTCGAGACATTTATCAAAAAAATCGCAAAATTTTTCTGATTTTCAAAATATGTTAAAATTAGCTGCCCAATTTTGGTTTATAAGGGTGAAAAAAACCCCAGAACTTTTCTCGCAACACCACGCAAATGCCCCTTTTTTACATTGGAACTAGTATTAAGGTATTAATCAAATTTGATATTTTGAGGATTGTCAAGATATTAGGGTGTACTTTAACTCAAAACAAAACCTTTGAATTGGTAAAAACTTGGTCAAAAAAGCAAACTTCAGACCATTCCCTTGTCAGAACTTTTTTCACCAGGTTTTTACCAATTTAAAAGGATTGTTTTTGAGCTAAAGTAACCCCTAATATCTTGACAATTCCTCAAAATATCAAATTTGATTAATACTACACCTTAATATGAGTTCCAATGTAAAAAATGGGGCATCAGCGTGCAGTTGCGAGAAAGGTTCTGAGGATTTTTTCGCCCTCACAAACCAAAATTGGGCAGCTAATTTTTACACATTCTGAATCAGAAAAATTTTGCGAATTTTTTGATATGTCTCGGCTTGTAACTCCATGCCCCATTGAAGTACTTTCCTTGTAAGAAAAGTTTTTTGATTTTTGCAACATTTCAATAAGATGTCATGGTGAAGATAAAAATGATTTCGGGTTGAAAACTCGCCTTAAGAGGTGTGAATTTTTGAAAATAGGCTTTAGAAAGAGTCTAAATTAAATGTGTCATGATGACGGATTTTTATTTCCTTTATTTTGGTGGTAAAATTTGAGGTTTTTTTGATGAGTAAAAAAATAAATGTCATGGTGAAGATAAAAAAGATGATTTTTGGTTGAAAGCTCGCCTTTTGAGGTGTGAATTTTTGAAAATAGGCTTTAGAAACGGTCTCTTTTTGATATATTTCTCGACTTGTAACTCCATACCACATACAAGTAATAATTTCCCTGTTAAAAATACCCCTCCCAATCGACCCAAAAATTTGTTTCCCACAAATTTCCCTACCTCAATTTGTGGTTTCAAATGCGCCCTGAACTTGTTGATCAGCTCCACGACAATGGCGAGCGACTTTTCGAAGACCGAAATCACCGACGACGAGGCGTTTTTGCTCAACGCCGGGCACAGATAGTACTTGAGGACGTAGATGAAGCTGTGCTTGTCCGGGAAGGTGATCTTGCTCTTTTGGAGGACCAATAAAATCATGTCCAGGCTCAGATGAAGGCTGTTGAGTTCGTGGCTTTGCGGGTCCGAGGTGGCGGCGCCCTTCTTGCTGAGCATGCAGAGGGCGCGCAGCAGAAGGAAGGCGTCCTTCTCCTCCGTCGACTTGAACTCCAGCTGGTACGAGGTGGAGTTGTTGTTGGTGTGATCTTCGAAACTCTTCTGCGTCTTTTCGTCGGAATGTTCTTGACTATGTACAATATCATTGACCAATTGGTCCAACACCGATTTCACTACCACATCATCCGACTCTTCCGCATATTCCCCATCGTATTCGTTTTCTTCCATCTTTTCGAAAACCCGTGTAATTATTTGCGTTAATGTCGCCCTCGCTGTTGAGCAATTTGTGGCATTTTTGGTGGCCAAACAAATGTTGAAACAGATGCGGACACTGTTGAGGAGAGCGGCGTCATGAACTTGTGTATTACTGCTCAACACCATGGCGAGAAGAGCCTGGAATTCAAAGTTGTTGTCATGGATAATATTATTTATGTTTCTAAACACTCCAAAAAATTGGTATCACTAAAAACACACCTTGATAATTTGCAACTCAACATTTTCGTCGGTCTGCGGACCATCGAACGGATGACAAACAGCTTCAACTATCCGATCGATCAACTTTCGCTCCGGATTTGCGGGATCCGTCGTATTTCCAATCAAATGCCCGTAAGTTACCAGTTTCTAAACACAGAAGAAAATAAAAAGCACAGCAGACTCACTTGTATACAATCCAAGGCGATGGCGGCAATTTTCGGAGTGCTTGAGCGACAGGCCAGATCAAGTGGAAGAAAATACGGATCGGCAAAAATGTAGCCATGATGCGAAGGCAAAACTCCACCCGTATGATTGTTTTCCTTCACTTCGCCCTCTCGACCGAGCTGTTCTAAAAATAAACCCTACATTTGAAGAAAACCGAACGGCCCTTGGTATTAAAGCTTAACATGAATAAGACAAGGTCAAAGTAACCGAGAATTGCAGAATTTCAAAGATAAATTGCTCAAAGACAGCATGCACATGCTCCAAGTAAACGGCCTAGCCAGTAGAAATCTTCGAATTACCCAAAATCAACCAAAATATTATACCCGTAGGTCAAGTATAATATAGCCCAAAATTCTGCGAGATCCTTGCGAAAATACCATGGAAGACTTCAAAAATACCAAGCCCAAGTCTTTCTAAACACATAAAAACAAACAAACGGTTAACAACTCACCCAGAGCAGTCTCACAAGCCTTTTTCAGCTCCACATTATTCCGTTTATGGATTGAAGACTCGTTGAGAAGCCGCTCAATCGATGTTTTCAAGAACATTCTCAATTTTCGACCATCTCCAGGGTGGCTAATTCAAATTTGAGGTTAGTTGGGGTCTTCAATCAATGTTTTTAGTTGTAAAATACCGAAAAAAAAGAAATTTTGCTGGAAAATCGGGAAAAAAATCCAGAGAGAAAAACCACGTCATGGAGTCAAGTGTTCCCCTAAAGGCGAGAAAACAGGGGTGGTCAGCGGACCCTATTTTTCCGATTTTCGGCCCGCGGCCCGGCCCGTCTAATTGGCCGGCCCGGCCCGTCTAGTCTTTTTCCAGGCCCGGCCCGGCCCGGCCCGTGACGGGCCTGGCCCGGCCCGGCCCGGCCCGTGCAGGCCCGTCTATAGAGGGTTCTGCGAACTGCGCCCAGGCTCGGGATCTAAACTGAGGCAAAAAAGGCGTTGATCTAGCTAGTAAAGGATCAATGTGATAGTTTTGTGGTTCTATAATTGAACTATAGACATGTAAACGTTTTAGAACTTGAAAAACAGCAACTATAACAACATCAATTAATTTTCCCGGCGCGAAAACAATGAATGCCAACGGTTTGGCATTGTATTTTAGACGGGCCGGGCCGGGAAAAACCCCAGGCCCGCGGCCCGGCCCGGCCCGTGACGGGCCCGGCCCGTTTGTCAATTTCCATTTTTGAGGCCGGCCGGCCCGTTTGGGCCGGGCCGGGCCAGCCCGGCCCGCTGACCACCCCTGCGAGAAAACCGTCAATTTGAATGTTTGAGGATTACAAATTGATGTTTATAGTCGAAAAAAGACCGCAAACTCACTGATACACTCTGTAACAATATAACTTTATTAAAAAACAACCAATTTACATGATATGTCCTATCTAAGATATTAACTAAAGTAACGTAAAATAAAGCACCGATTTGAAAGTAAAGGAGATGAGATTGAGCTAGCCGAATGGATAGATCTCACGGAACCAGGGCCGGGGACGATATTCTGTTCCATCGAAGCCTTCAAAGTACTTCTCCAGATTGGGATGGATGATGCTCTGGCCGGAGATGATTTCGATGTTCTCCTCGATTAAATAGGCGATTTGAGGTAGATGCTTGTCCCGCATGTCGATTAGGACCAAGTAATTCGGATTGTCTATCCATTCCTGAAAGAAAATCGGAAATTTTTAAAAGTTTTGCCATGGATAACATAAATTATTAGGCCAATATAAAAATTTGACCTTCTAATGGCTTCAAACCACAAAACCAGCCAACGTATAGCCAATAAAGGCCTAAAATAGAACTGTATAACGCAAAAGATCCAATCCGACATACTTTTTTATTCAGAAGTATGCCATTGATCCACCACTTTGGGGCATTCGCTGTGTGATCCCAACCAACGATAACGCCTGGAAAAGAAAGCACAATTAAATATTAATCAAACACCACCCACTTACCTCTAAATTTATGCTTTTTATGGCGAAAGACTTGACCAATCCGGTACTTTACCCATGGTGCACGTGGATCTCGAGGTTCTTTTGATGCTAAAGATAGGTTTTCAAACATGAATTCAATTAGTTTATGGCTTAGAAGACGAATAAAACCTTCAATTCTCTTTTATAGAAAAGCTTGGCAAAATTAAAGAGTTATCACAAAGTTCTAACCCTATTTTAACCTTGTCTTACATGCAAAGTGATCGTCGTCGATTTTCAACTCTGCTAGATCCAAAACATCCTCCGCAACCTTCTTTTTATTCTTCAAGTACTCATCGATGAATGATTTCTCTTCTTCCACACTCTCTTTCAACCAGATGTTCTTCCATTCGCCCACCTGATCCACCAATCTAAACATCAACAACAACAAAACAAAATTAACTTACCTTGTCAAATAAAACTTAAATTCAGCTGAAGAGCTGGGTGAGAGATAAAATTGAAGCGGAACTGAGAAGAATAATCCGACCAACAGCAAGACCGGCCCAAGTTCTACCATTTCACGTCATCTGAAACGAAACCGATATTACACTTGATTAGAAATTGAAACCATTGTGTGACGTTTACATAAAAAGCGTTGAAAAGCATACAAACAACGAGAGTGGGGGCGTTTCGGAGGGTTTGACAAAAATACGTTGTTATAGGCACCGAAAAACATCTGATAATCAGTGCAAGAAAACAGAAAGTGGGGTTGATGGGAAAACAAGGTATTCCACTCAATTTTTCGAATGACAGCTAGTGGTAACGCAACGGCCATGGAAGGCGTATTACTTCTACAGGTAGGGGCTCTCATTTTTAGGCAAAAAAGGATACAGGAAAGACAGATTTCACGTGCGGATTTCCGGAAAATAAAATTATCTCGTGGCGTCTAGAAAATGTGTCATGTAAACATAGGCGAATAGGTTTAGAAAGTAGCAGATTATCTGCAGATTTGTTTGTAGATCGAGTATATTTTTCGTAATGTAAATTAGCATTTTAGATCCGCCAAGAAGCTTGGATTCCAGCTGTCATCATGACGGATTTTCTGGAAACTGCGAAAAAACTAAAATTTCGTCTGATCAAAGTATTTTACAAAGAACGACGACCACCTTATGATACAAATTCGTGGGCTGCATCTTCAAGAAGCAGCTTAACGCCATGCCACCACTTCTGCGACTAAATTCACGGCATTTGAGTAAGTTATATTATTTTAGTTGCTTGATTTTTAGATTTTTGCCGTTTTCAGACCGTTCTTGCCCGATATTCGGAGCTGGTCAAAGCCGGGACACTAAATGAAGACAAGTATCAGTTAAATGTGGTGAAAGAATTGGACAGACTTTGTGATGATCTCAAGGATTATGAACCACAGCCGGCGCAGACGATCGAAACGGCTGGATTCTTTTCAAAAATTTCGTTGTTCAAGGAAAAGACCCCAGAGATTGTACATAAAGTCCCGAAAGGACTGTATATTTATGGAGCAGTCGGTAAGTCCTTCATTCATTCATTGTACACCTTATACTTGACAATAAGGTCAAAATCTTCAACTTTTAGATTTATTTGCTTTCAGGTGGCGGAAAAACAATGCTAATGGACATGTTCTTTGACAAGGCGCCTCTGAAGCGAAAAGAACGAGTGCATTTCCACGCATTTATGCGGGATTTCCATTTTCGTATGTTGTATTTGATGTTTTGAGTGTTTTGTCTTTAGAACTCCACCAGTTGAAGATGCAGGGTCCTGAGAGGCAACGAGGAGAGAGACCTAATCATGATCATGTCCCTGAGATTGCCAAATCCATTGCGGAACGGAGTGTTCTCCTCTGTTTCGACGAATTCCAGGTTACAGACATAGCTGATGCCATGATTCTGAAGCGTTTGTTCAGCCAGCTCTTCGACTTGGGACTTATCGCTGTTTGCACTTCCAATAGAAAGCCCGATGATCTGTACAAAAATGGCCTTCAACGGCATCAATTTGTTCCGTTTATTGAGTTATTGAAAGAAAAGAGTGTTGAGGTACCTCTGGAATCGGGAAAGGATTACAGAATCGGTGGAAAGAAGTCGAATCAATCCTATTTCATCCAAGGAAAAGAGGACCAGCATCTGGAGAACATGTTTAAACGTCTCATAGCACAAGAAACGGACACGGTTCGGCCGAGAACATTGAACATCCTGGGAAGGGAGATCCATTTATCGAAATGTTGCGGCAGAGTCGCATTTCTCGAATTTCAAGAGGTAAACTTGACTTTATGTTGTTGGAATAGGTAGTATTTCTTGGAAGGGGCATACCGAAAGCAATTAGAAAGAATATTTTGCTTTCAGTTATGCGATAAACCACTTGGAGCAACGGATTATCTCGCCATTGCCCGAGTCTTTCATACCGTCCTCATAAAAGATGTCCCAGTCTTCACGAGGCAGAATCTCAGTGCGTCTAGACGATTCATCACACTGATTGACACGTTATACGATTTGAGAGTAAGTTCGATTCATCGCACAGTGCGATCGATTTTCAGTTTTTGGTCAATGCACGGTGCAGAGGGCTTTTTGGGGATTTTATTGGCCGTCGGGCAGCCCAGTAGGAGACTGAAATTATCTTATGAGATTTTTTGCACAGTAATTCTTTCTTTTTCCCGCACTGTGCAATCCATTTTCAAAATTCTCGCACTGTGCGATCAATTTTTCGTTTTTGATGATTGCACTGTTCAGAGAGCTTTTTGGTTCTTTTATTGGCCGTCGGGCAGCCCAGTAGGAGACTGAAATTATCTTATGAGATTTTTTATACAGTAATTCTTTCTTTTTCCCGCACTGTGCAATCCATTTTCAAAATTCTCGCACAGTGCAACGATTTTTGTTTTTTTTTTGATTTCACGATTCAATCGAATATCTGACGATTTGTTATGGCTGGCTACTCTTCATTGGGATATTTTTATCAGCCGTTTTTCCATTTCGTACCTACATTTCATTCACCTCCGCACTGTGCAGTTATTTTTTAAAATTTTTCCGCACAGTGCAACACATATTCAGTCATTTTTAAATTGCAGACCCGGATAGCCCTCTCGGCAGCCGCTCCCCTCCAACAACTCTTCCAAATCGACTCTGATCAGCCCGTGGAACTCAGCGACTCCCAACGAATCCTCATGGACGACCTCAAAGTCAAAGAAGGCGAAGATGGAGCTGCCGCCAATGTTTTCAGCGGCCAAGAAGAAGTGTTTGCGTTCAAACGGACCCTGTCCAGACTACAGGAAATGCAAACAGACGCATATTGGACTAGATGAGCTGATAGATTATATTGTTTTAGGAATAAATGTGGTAAATAATGTGGACTGGATCTTATTTCTTTGTGAATCCAATAATCATCAGCCTCCGATTACAAGGTTCAACTGGAATGTTTGATGCATTCCCAGCTCACAAAAGAGCTACTTTCAGCGCCACAGCCAAAAGTATGCGGGTTCTTCGAATGTAGACTCAGTGCCATCTAATAATTAGTAAAATAAGCCTTCTCTTGTCTAATAAAGCGACAAACTGTAATTTTATCATAGATTATATAACCATAATAAAAATTCAAACTCTGATAACATCGGCTTTCCAGTTGACATGTCTTGAAGGCGAAATTAAGGGGCTCTGATCGGAGTTACCAGTCATCAACTTCTGCCTACTACAACATCAGCAATTTATTGCCACCACAATTGAAGTCTCGATTGGACACAGTCCGAAATCGCTGGAATTGTGGAGAGCACTGGTATTTCAACTGCAGTGTGCGCCAGGAAATTATTTCTCGTCGTAGGAGGCCTAAATGAGACGTATAATAATCATGACAACAAAAATTAATCAAAATATTCCACGAAAAGGCCCGAATGAATTCTAGAAGGTGAAGCACCCTCTCTATACTACAGACTTTCCTTGACATAGGTTCCCACTATAGTAAATCTTCCAAGGAATTCAAATTTATCCCGAAATGTGGTAAAAATTCTCAGCATAACGCCAATTACGACCCATACCCTCAAAGCAGCCATAATCTTCTAAAACAGGTCTAAAATACACCTACTTTGAGTCGATTTCCGACAACTATTCAACGACCATAGAGTGCGCCATCGATCTGCCAATTTTCTCAAATTGAAATCGTCCGATGAGATCAAATTATTGCCTATTCTAGTTCATCCCAACAAGGCTTCAGCCACCACATGCCCCTCGTGCTATTCGCGTGGACGGGAGACTTCGATGCAACTGCCTAAATTCCGAACAATCCAAAAAGCTCAAAACACAACTTACTTTTACCATTTTGCCCATCAGTTAGAACTCATTCTTCTGTGGCGACCTCGACCATCGGTAGCAATCTTCGCCTGGGGACTTCTGTCCTTCCAAGGCACAAAGGTCTTTGGAGAACTGCGAGACTGACCAAGGAACCATCTAAAATTCCATACAAATTAAAAACTGCACCAAAATCAAAAGAAATCGGACAAAATTGTCAAAACTCACCGAAAACATGTTATATAATCCAGGACTCAAAAACCTTTGTCCATACCCGTGCCGATGCCTTCAAAATCCCACAAGAAACGTCCGAAATCCCGACACGTTGCAAAAAACGTTCAAAAAAATTGAAAAAAAATTGAATGAAAGTCTGAAGAAAACGTCAAATATTCCCACGAATTTTCACAAAAAACTCAAAATTTGCATATTCGAAATCCGCCAAAGTTTCCTTTGCATTTTGCTCATTCATTGGTTGACTTTTAAATCCTGGCGGTGGCAAGCCAAGTCCAAGGTCCACGAAGGAAAGGTGGAGCACCCTAGCCCCCCGAATGAGCCCGGGGGGCCGCTGGATTCTTGAAAAGGGTGCTCACCTTCTCTTCCGATCCCTCGTGTGGTCAACCCGGAGCGCCCTGGCCCTCCGCTTCATCCGGGGGGCCCTGTGGAAACTTCATGGGCGCTCGGCTAGACGAAATTAGGTAAGATTGCGTTTTTTATGGCTGTTTGACTTTTATCTGGGCTAAAGTAATATAATTTTTGTTCTATTTTTAGATGAAGGCCAGTCCGGGCCGAAGTGGAGAGGGCACCCATGCCCCCCGAATCAGTCCGGGGGGCCTCTGGAATAAAAAAGGGTGCCCCATCCAAGTCCACGAAGAACTAAGAGAAGGTGGAGCGCCCTAGCCCCCCGAATGAGCCCGGGGGGCCGCTGGATTCTTCAAAAGGGTGCTCACCTTCTCTTCCGGTCAAACCGGAGCGCCCGGGCCCTCCGCTTCATCCGGGGGGCCCTCTGGAAACTTCATGGGCGCTCGGTAGGACAAAATTAGGTAAGATTTCTTTGTTTTATGGCTGTTTGACCTTGATTTAGGCAAAATCAATGTAATTTTTGTTCTATTTTCAGATGAAGGTCAGTCCAGGCCGAAGTGGATCGGGCACCCATGCCCCCCGAATCAGTCCGGGGGGCCTCTGGAATAAAAAAAGGGTGCCCATCCAAGTCCACGAAGAACTAAGAGAAGGTGGAGCGCCCTAGCCCCCCGAATGAGCCCGGGGGGCCGCTGGATTCTTGAAAAGGGTGCTCACCTTCTCTTCCGATCCCTCGTGTGGTCAACCCGGAGCGCCCTGGCCCTCCGCTTCATCCGGGGGGCCCTCTGGAAACTTCATGGGCGCTCGGCAGGACAATTGCCGAGCGCCCATGATACCGCCGGAACTAAAATTAGGTAAGATTTCGGTTTTTATGGCTGTTTGACTTTTATTTGGGCTAAAGTAATATAATTTTGTTCTATTTTCAGATGAAGGCCAGTCCAAGCCGAAGTGGATCGGGCACCCATGCTCCCCGAATCAGTCCGGGGGGCCTCTGGAATAAAAAAGGGTGGGATCTGAAGCTCTCGCTCCCTGGATTAGCCCGGCCTCTGGAATTAAAAGGGTGGACCATGCACAGAAAATGAGGTAAGCGAGATTTATATTTCTTCCCTTCGAAGTTTAGACTTATGCTTAGTTAGGAATTTCAAGCGGTGTTATACTAGGCACAAGTTCTGGATGGGTTTGGTCAGAACGGGCTGGAAACTTGATTTTTCCCATTGATTTTGCTTCTGGATTTCAGTTGCTTTGTGCTTGGAGAATTTGAGCCGGGTTTTTTGATCGGCTTCTTGGGATTATCAGCGGATGTTTTGACATCAAGACGGTTCTAAAAATGCGGATAAATTCGATCTTTCCTTACCCTCTTTTTTTGTTTTGCTATTTTTCTTTTTTTTTACATAAGATTATCTCTTCTTTTTCAGACTCTTGCATCATCACGAGCACAATTGCCCACCGATCAATGTCTTCGTCATGGTAATATGCGAGCCAACCAACTTTGACCCCAAATTGGACTTTAAATGGCTGTGAATTGAACCGGTTGGACCCAAGTAGAGGTAAGCCTTCTTTTTATGTTTTGTTGTTTGGCGTTTAGGTCACAAAGTTTAAGATTTTTTGCCATGTTATGCTGAACCTCAGCCTTCCCTGGACTGAGTTAGAACCGGGAGTTTAGATGTCTCTATTCTTGTGGTTGTTTGTTTGCTAAAAAGAATTGTCGGAAGTTATGAGTTAGATTTACCCTGCTTGATTCTAGCTTTCGGGTACAGACCTGATATTATATTAGGTATGAAACCTTCAAAAAGTCTAAAGAAGGATAATTTTCTATTTTATCTGCTTTTTTTTCAGAATTACGCCAAAATGGTCTCATCTTGGTTCAACCAGCGGTCCACCTCACTCTCTCTTCGGAATGTAAGTTTGGTTTTTTTTGGCAATTGAGGAAAGAGGAAGCGTTATTTGGGACTTTTGACAAAAAATGTCTTAAAACATACCCCCAGTTGACATAACCCTTACAAAACTTTTCTAATGAGCTGTAAATTAGAAACTACACCTAAGTTAAAGTCTAGGAGTCCTGCTACTGTTGCATCTATGAACTGTCCAATTCGGACCACTACAGGATTAGTTATCGACTTTTGGAAATTGAATTTTAAATTTCGACCAATTTTTGGCCGAAAATTTTTGTATATCTTCCGCCGGAACCAACCACTCTGGTCCAAATGTGGTTTTTCTGAATCTATTATGATGCTTGCTTCTCCCTAGGGTGTTTCCAGAAAAAAACCTACAGGGCATGTTTCTGCAAAACAAAAAAATATTGAAAGCGTAAAGACTTCATCGTATAAAGTGTCGCCGCAAACCGAGAAGGGTCGGGCGCAACTCAAAATGCGAAAAAAATATTTTTTCTTCGAGGAATATTATTTTAGTGTCGACGAGCAGATACTAGTCCGTTCGTAAAGTCGCTGGAATGTTTTCGGCGACATTCACCCCGCGAAATCGAAAGTTCACTTTGCACTGTGCAAATTTTGGCTTTTTGCACAGTGCAATAGGCTTTTTTGGGCTGTCGCCCGCACCCTGAGTTTTCGTGCACAGTGCGCGTCGCCGAAATCATTCCAGCGACTTTACGAACGGACTAGTATCAGACGAAATACAGACAGAAACAGCACGCAAAGATTAACTCAATGTCATTTTATTTTTTTTACTGTGTTTTCAGGCAATTTCGTTGGATTTTGCTTTGGTTTCACACTAAAATAGTAATTCTCAAAAAAATATATATTATTTTCGCCTTTCGAGCTGCGCCCAACCCTTCTCGGCTTGCGGCGACATTCTATACGATGAAACCTTTACGCTTTCAGAATTTTTTCGTTTTACAGAAACATGCCCTATAGGTTGTTTCTGGAAACACCCTAGGGAGAAGCAAGCATCACAATAGATTCCGAAAAACCACATTTGGACCAGAATGGTTGGTTCCGGCGGAAGATATACTAGATTTCAGGGCAAAAAATTGGTCGAAATTTAAAATTCAGTCACCAAAAGTCGATAACTAATCCTGCAGTGGTCCGATTTGGACAGTTCTTGGATGTAACAGTAGTAGGACTCCTAGACGTTAACTTAGGGGTAGTCTCTAATTTACATAAGAATTTATTTTTTGTTTTTCAGGTATCTCCAAACTCCAAAGAGAGACGGAAAAAAAATAAATAAAAAAAGAAAAAAAGATAAAAAAAGAAAAAAAAATAAAAAAGAGAAAAAAGTAGAAAAGAAAAAAAAATAAAAAAAATATAAAAAAGAAAAAAAGAAAAAAATATAAAAAAGAAAAAAAAGAAAAAAATATAAAAAAGAAAAAAAGATAAAAAAGAAAAAAAAGAAAAAAAAAATTTTTTTTAAGTCACCCTTACTCTTCTTCTCTCTTAAATTTTATTCCACTATCGTTTTCCACCATTTTTATCTATGTAAGTTGCCATTTCATCCTTTATTTTATCCTCGATTTTTCTTGAATTATCTGATCCATATTTTCAGAAACCGAGCTCAGATCAATGGACATCTTTGGAACACATTTCCTGCCCAGCTACTTCAAATACGCCAATCACGACCCAGGACGGCACCCCTAAACGGTCGAAATTTAAAACCAGCGATTTAAACATCATGAAATGTAAGTTTCGGTGGTTTTTTGGTAATCGAGGAAATTAAGGATGGCTTGAAATTATTGTCACTTGTTTTTTCGTGGGTTCTTCTATTTATTTTTTGTTTTTCAGGTACTTCATAGTCCAAAGGTCCAGGAGACGGAAAAAAAATAAAAAAAAGAAAAAAATATAAAAAATAAAAAAAAGAAAAAAAAATATAAAAAAGAAAAAAAGAAAAAAAAATATAAAAAAGAAAAAAAAATTTTTTTATTTACCCTTACTCTTCTTGTCTGTAAAATTTAACTCCGCTGTCGTTTTCCACCATTTTTATCTATGTAAGTTGCCATTTCATCCTTGATTTTATCCCGGATTTTTCTTGAATTATCTGATCTATATTTTCAGAAACCGAGCTCAGATCAATGGACATCTTTGGAACACATTTCCCGGCCCAGCTACTTCAACTACGCCAATATCGACCCAGGACGGCACCCCTACATGGTCGAAACTGAAAACCAGCGATTTAAACATCATGAAATGTAAGTTTCGGTGGTTTTTTGGTAATTGAGGAAATTAAGGATGGCTTGAAATTATTGTCACTTGTTTTTTCGTGGGTTCTTCTATTTATTTTTTGTTTTTCAGGTACTTCATAGTCCAAAGGTCCAGGAGACGGATAAAAAATAAAAAAAAAGAAAAAAAAAGACAAAAAAAAGAAAAAAAAATATAAAAAAGAAAAAAAAGAAAAAAAAAATTTTTTAAGTCACCTTTACTCTTCTTCTCTGTAAAGTTTAACTCCACTATCGTTTTCCACCATTTTTATCTATGTAAGTTGCCATTTCATCCTTTATTTTATCCCGGATTTTTCTTGAATTATCTGATCTATATTTTCAGATTTCCGAGCTCAGATCAATGGACATCTTTGGAACACATTTCCCGGCCCAGCTATTTCAACTACGCCAATATCGACCCAGGACGGCACCCCTACATGGTCGAAACTGAAAACCAACGATTTAAACATCATGGAATGTAAGTTTTGGTGGTTTTTTTGGTAGTTGGGGAAATTAAGGATGGCTTGAAATTATTGTCACTTGTTTTTTCGTGGGTTCTTCTATTTATTTTTTGTTTTTCAGGTACTTCATAGTCCAAAGGTCCAGGAGACGGATAAAAAATAAAAAAAAAAGAAAAAAATATAAAAAAGAAAAAAATATAAAAAAGAAAAAAATATAAAAAAGAAGAAAAGAAAAAAAATATAAAAAAGAAAAAAAAAGAAAAAAATTTTTTTTTAAGTCACCCTTACTCTTCTTGTCTGTAAAATTTAACTCCACTATCGTTTTCCACCATCTTTATCTATGTAAGTTGCCATTTCATCCTTTATTTTATCCTCGATTTTTCTTGAATTATCTGATCTATATTTTCAGAAACCGAGCTCAGATCAATGGACATTTTTGGAACACATTTCCCGGCCCAACTATTTCAACTACGCCAATATCGACCCAGGACGGCACCCCTACATTGTCGAAACTGAAAACCAACGATTTAAACATCATGGAATGTAAGTTTTGGTGGTTTTTTTGGTAATTGAGGAAATTAAGGATGGCTTGAAATTATTGTCACTTGTTTTTTCGAAGGTTCCTTAATTTGTTTTTTTATTTTCAGAGCTCCAAGACTTCTTCATTGCATGCGGAATAAAAAAAAAATAAAAAAAAAAATTTAAAAAAAATAAAAAAAAAAAAATAAAATAAAAAAAAAAAATGAAAAAAGGAAAAAGAAGAAGCCACATCGCTTCCACTCCATTTCCCATTTCCATCATTCTCAAAGCCTGCTTTGGTGATTAAAGTAAGCTGTTTTACAAACTATAGGCCTTTATTTCTTGTTATAAGTCCAGGTACTGCCCATTCTATTTTTAATATCTTTTATTTTCACGGAAACCATCGAGAAGCCGTTCCTTGAAGCCCTGGAGAACTTGAAGAAATCAATGGTATCCTGGAGGTATGGACCGTGTAAAGATAAAAAAGGTATGTATGTCTTGACCTGTAACTCCATACCCCCACAGAAGTACTTTCCTTGTTAAATTCTGCATGTGGATTACAGAAGTATTCCGATCAAAGATCAAGTAAATTAGTAATTGAATTATGGGATCGTGACAGTTTTTTTGACCCACATATTTTGCCATCAGGTGTCTTTTGGTTTGACGTTTTGGTCTCTAATGTGAAATCAAGGGGATAAAGTAATTTTAAATGCGACAAAAGTATATGACTACTATTTTTGGCGGAATTTTAGTCGCTATGATTACAATTTTTTGAGATCCCTGTATTACTCATGAGATTGTTGAACTTATGTTTGATTTTTTAGTCTTAATCTCCATTTCCTTACAGATTCCTTCAAGTCCCATTAAACCTGTCCAGGCAACTTTCCAGCCGAGAAGAAGAAGAAGAATCTACGATTTTAATTTGATCTATTTGTTTCTTTTTTATTTTATCTTGCTTGCTTTGAAAGGGGAAGGGGAATGGGAGAAAAGGGCGGAGAAGGTAAGTAATCGGAATTGGGTTGAATGGTGGTAATGCTGTAGTGCAGCCTAGGACGAAATTTTTATTAACGGGGCCGGTAGACAGCGTATATCTTAGAGATTTGATGGTTTAGTCTGGAAGTGAGAGCGCCACGGCGTTTGGGGTCAGGGGCAACTCGGGTCAGGTCGACGATACCGTTTAGTATTTTCGCTTCGGGGCTTGGGAAAAAGGCTTTTTTGGAGAATTTGAACAAATTTTTGAAATTTTTTCGCTTCGGGACTGGAAGAAGTGTTTTCTGGAGAATTGAGGTGTATCTTCGATTTTTTTAGGAAAATAGTGTCTTTAAGCGACGAGCAAATCAGAAAATCGTATCCATTGTTTATGTTTTCAACTGGAAGCACGGGATTTCATCCCGAAGCGAAGACGGTTCAAAATTTTGTTCCAATTCTCCAAAAAATCCTTTTTCCCAAGTCCCGAAGCAAAAATATTAAACGGTATCGTTGACCCGAGGTGTCGTTCACCGATGTGTCCCTGAACCGAAATGTCAGGACGCGGAAGTGAGGGGTACCTAGAATTCTTTTAGTTTTTGGCTCTGAAAGGCGTTTAATTATGGCCGAATTATCTTGTCTCCTCTGGGGCATTGGGCGTTTTCGACCTAGGAGACCGGCATCGTGGAAGGGTAGGATGCATACGTAGGAGGGGAATAGGGCCAGGAAGAACAGTTGGGTTCGTGAGGGTTGTTTATCCTTCGTTTGTTCGGCCGTAAAAGCGCCATTTTTTATCGGTATTGTATTGTTTGAATCATCAAAGGGACGTTTGGAGGTTGGAGTACAACTCGTTCCAGAAAGTGCGTGGACCTTTCGTCGCTTTAGTTTTCCGCACTGTGCGTTTGACCTTTGCAACGTCCAATTCGAAAAGTCGCAGCGACGTAGGCTCTTTTCCAGCTACGTAGCCGCGCATTTTGGGCGCGTGACAACGATTGCACGATGCAAGAAAAGAAGAAAAATTCACTGTGCGCCGCGAAAAAATGCTTACGCACTTCCTGGAACGACTAGGAAAGAGGGTGTTTCGTAGCTTGCTATTGTTAGTTTACAGGGGAAGTACCCCAAGTGCGACGCTCAGATTTTTTTTCAAATTTAGAACACACATCGGTCATGGACTAAGCATTAATTCCTGGAAGTTTTAGCTCGCGCTTTGCAAGTGCAGCCGATATATTGAACGATCTTTGCCGCCGAGAGAGCATGCGAAACGCGGAGAGCGGTCAGAGAGCAAAAAAATTTTTGTTCATAACTTTGCCAGTTTCGTGCGGAAAAATTCGATTTTTTGTGGAAACATTACCCTCTATGGTAGAAATAGGCATAAAACTTTTCGTGCCAAAATTCAGCAAGAAGTCTCATATTTTCGCCGACTTTCGATTTTAAAATATCGGTTGTCTTTGCAAAGCGCGAGCTAGGATTCTCGCATATATTTTAGAAAAAAATACTCTAAATTTGTACCAAGTTTCATCAAAATCTGAGCGTCGCATTTGGGGTACTTCCCCTGTTAGCTGAAAGTGAGGGGTACCCTGGGGTTTTCAATCCAAATTACTTATACTCGGAGAGACGTTGGGCATTCTCTAGATTGATAATGTAGAGGGGTATGATGTATGCTTAGGGAAGGAATAGCTCCAGCAAGGATGGTTGGGTTAATGTGGTTTTTTATTCGTTACCCGGCCGTAAAAGCGCCATTTCTATCGCCATTGTGTCGTTTGAATTGTGTATTGAAGCCAAAATGGCAGATTCTACAGCGAAGGCAGGGATTCAGTCCCGGACGCATAACCAACCAGCCACTGGTCAACGAGTTCCCGTGATCCGCTGGGCATGTCTTCGACTTCCAGACCCGTAAGAGCGGCACTCTCCATTCTTGTTCCTCCGGCTGGCTAGCCTCGGATCCATTGCAAATTGGGCAACCGGACGCTTGGCGGCCCTAGAATTTTCTCGCTAGCGGAAGAGTTCTACCTTCTGGTCGGAACCAGGCTTTGTGGAACACTCCCACTTGTCAATTCACTCCGTCATCACTAATTCACCTTTTTTCAAAACGGGTGCCTAGTATAATATCAGAGTGTTTCGCCCAGTGTGGGCGTAGTTTGATTCCAAAAAAGCTGAAACTTGCCGTGCTAAAATCTCATGCCATTACCTTTCGAATGGTATATGTCTTGTCAATTCACTCCGTCATCACTAATTGACCTTTTTTAAAACCGGTGCCTAGTATAATATCAGAGTGTTTCGCCCAGTGTGGGCGCAATTTGATTCCAAAAAAGCTGAAACTTGCCGTGCTAAAATCTCATGCCATTACCTTTCGAATGGTGTATGTCTTGTCAATTCACTCCGTCGTCACTAATTGACCTTTTTTTAAAACCGGTGCCTAGTATAATATCAGAGTGTTTCGCCCAGTGTGGGCGCAATTTGATTCCAAAAAAGCTGCAACTTGCCGTGCTAAAATCTAATGAGGTTACCTTTCGAATGGTGTATGTCTTGTCAATTCACTCCGTCATCACTAATTCACCTTTTTTCAAAACCGGTGTCTAGTATAATATCAGAGTGTTTCGCCCAGTGTGGGCGTAATTTGATTCCAAAAAAGCTGAAACTTGCCGTGCTAAAATCTCATGCCATTACCTTTCGAATGGTATATGTCTTGTCAATTCACTCCGTCATCACTAATTGACCTTTTTTTAAAACCGGTGCCTAGTATAATATCAGAGTGTTTCGCCCAGTGTGGGCGTAATTTGATTCCAAAAAAGCTGAAACTTGCCGTGCTAAAATCTCATGCCATTACCTTTCGAATGGTGTATGTCTTGTCAATTCACTCCGTCATCACTAATTGACCTTTTTTTAAAACCGGTGCCTAGTATAATATCAGAGTGTTTCGCCCAGTGTGGGCGTAGTTTGATTCCAAAAAAGCTGAAACTTGCCGTGCTAAAATCTTATGAGGTTACCTTTCGAATGGTATATGTCTTGTCAATTCACTCCGTCATCACTAATTGACCTTTTTTTAAAACCGGTGCCTAGTATAATATCAGAGTGTTTCGCCCAGTGTGGGCGTAGTTTGATTCCAAAAAAGCTGAAACTTGCCGTGCTAAAATCTTATGAGGTTACCTTTCGAATGGTATATGTCTTGTCAATTCACTCCGTCATCACTAATTGACCTTTTTTTAAACCGGTGCCTAGTATAATATCAGAGTGTTTCGCCCAGTGTGGGCGTAGTTTGATTCCAAAAAAGCTGAAACTTGCCGTGCTAAAATCTTATGAGGTTACCTTTCGAATGGTATATGTCTTGTCAATTCACTCCGTCATCACTAATTGACCTTTTTTTAAACCGGTGCCTAGTATAATATCAGAGTGTTTCGCCCAGTGTGGGCGTAGTTTGATTCCAAAAAAGCTGAAACTTGCCGTGCTAAAATCTCATGCCATTACCTTTCGAATGGTATATGTCTTGTCAATTCGCTCCGTCATCACTAATTGACCTTTTTTAAAACCGGTGCCTAGTATAATATCAGAGTGTTTCGCCCAGTGTGGGCGTAGTTTGATTCCAAAAAAGCTGAAACTTGCCGTGCTAAAATCTCATGCCATTACCTTTCGAATGGTATATGTCTTTCAATTCACTCCGTCATCACTAATTGACCTTTTTTTAAAACCGGTGCCTAGTATAATATCAGAGTGTTTCGCCCAGTGTGGGCGTAGTTTGATTCCAAAAAAGCTGAAACTTGCCGTGCTAAAATCTCATGCCATTACCTTTCGAATGGTATATGTCTTGTCAATTCACTCCGTCATCACTAATTGACCTTTTTTTAAACCGGTGCCTAGTATAATATCAGAGTGTTTCGCCCAGTGTGGGCGTAGTTTGATTCCAAAAAAGCTGAAACTTGCCGTGCTAAAATCTTATGAGGTTACCTTTCGAATGGTATATGTCTTGTCAATTCACTCCGTCATCACTAATTGACCTTTTTTTAAAACCGGTGCCTAGTATAATATCAGAGTGTTTCGCCCAGTGTGGGCGTAGTTTGATTCCAAAAAAGCTGAAACTTGCCGTGCTAAAATCTCATGCCATTACCTTTCGAATGGTATATGTCTTTCAATTCACTCCGTCATCACTAATTGACCTTTTTTAAAACCGGTGCCTAGTATAATATCAGAGTGTTTCGCCCAGTGTGGGCGTAGTTTGATTCCAA